TGCTGAGGATCTTCTTGTTCAATTCTATGGAGATTTCTGCTGATGCGTGTATTGCCCAGGAATTTTCCATCCATGGATTCACAGACATGGAATCTTCGGTGCTTCTGATCATGTCCTTTGATCGCTTTCTAGCTATTTGCACCCCCCTGAGGTATAGCTTCATTCTTACCAGCTCCAGAGTTTTGCATATCGGACTGACATTTGCTATCAAAAGCATGTTACTAGTTCTTCCTCTTCCTTTTACTTTAAAGAGACTCAGGTACTGTAATAAATGCCTGCTCTCACACTCCTATTGCCTCCACCAGGATGTCATGAAACTGGCCTGCTCTGACAATAGGGTTAACTTTTACTATGGTCTGTTTGTTGTACTCTGCATGATGTCAGACAGCATGTTCATTGCGGTTTCCTATGTCTTCATCCTGAAGACCGTATTGGGTATTGCATCCCAGGGGGAGTGACTTAAAGCTCTTAATACCTGTGTGTCCCACATCTGTGCTGTGCTTATCTTCTACGTGCCCATCATCACTTTGGCTACCATGCATTGCTTCACTAAGCATAAATCCCCCTTGGCTATGATTCTGATAGCTGATGCTTTCTTGTTGGTACCACCTTTGATGAACCCCATTGTGTATTGTGTAAAAACTCGGCAGATTAGAGTAAAAGTCTTGGGAAAACTGAGTCTCAAGTCTAAATGATGGGGCAGACATGGAAGTCCCATTTTTTTCTACAATACATTATCTTAGGAGCAGGGCAATATTACTTTCAAAGAGGAGATGTTTCCTTTTACCTCATAGTTCTAAAGTTACATTGATTAATTAGCCAAACAATCATTTAATCCCTAAAAGGGATCTAATATACCACAGCATATCTGATTTTGAGGAAGAGGAGGCCTGCGTTTCAGAGAGTAGGTGAGAATCCTTTTGTTACTGTTTGGGGGATTGATGGCATCTACGTTGAAGTATAACGAAGAGTGAGAAACAGAGAAGATTCTAAGGAAGAACTATGATAAGCAGCCCTAAACTGTGACTGAGGGAGCTCTGCAAGGTTCTGGAGCCATTTAGCATCTTTGTATTGGCTTTCCTTATTTGATCCTTTTTTTTTTGTGTGATTTACATTAAGCCCTTAATATATCTAAGTTGTTTTAAATATGTTCTCTTCCTTGCTACTCAAAGTGTGGTACACTGCTCAGCAGCATAAGCATCGCCTGGAGCATAACTAGAATTGCAGAATCTCATGCCCCGTTTCAAGCCTATTAAGCGAGAACCTGAATTTTACCATGACCTTAGATGGTAAGTACATTAATGTATGCATTAGGTATGCACATTAATGTTTGGGAAAGAAAACTTGTGGGGGGCAATGTGAAAGGGGAACCTAGAGAGTGTGTTTTTGGCTGAATCCAAATTGGGAGGAAATTGTAGGAGGAAATTACAGGTGACCATTGGCATTTGGCACCATTTCTAGTAACAGCAAGGGGCTGAGTCCTTGGGGCACAATCGATGGAGACCCAGAGGCATCTTCCATATCATACACATGTCTCTTCTCAGTGACTACAAAATGAATTTCCAGAGAAAAGAGTTGTGAATTATTCAACTTTGAAAGTCTCCTCACGATAAAATACCTTGTTCAGAGTATGTGCTTGGTAGATGTATATCAGTTTGAACTAAAAGAATAGTCTGAAGTTTTGCTGGGGTGGAGATTCAGGGGTCAACCTAGACTCAACTCACCTCTGCATTCTCTGCACCTCTTACCAGAAGCTGACATTGACAGGAAATGTAAGGGCTCTTTGTGAGAGACACAGAATACCATTAGGTACCGATAACTGTCAAGACACAACACAGAATCTGTACCACTGTGGCCAAACAGACATCCAAACAACTTTCTTATCTGAGCCTCCCTGGACCCACATGTCACTTCCTGACATTGTAAATGGAGCCATATCAGAGTACTCCAAGGACACCTAATGAGAAAGTGTCAACAGAGAAGATTTAGGAGCTATGAAGCTATGATGCCTTTATTTAAGGGATCAGAGTCCAGGATTACTGGTAATCAATAGGATATAAAGTAGCTCCAGATGGGGGAATTTAAGAAGTCAACCTATAAAAGAAAGACTAAAAAGGCCCTATCAGTGATAACATGTCCTCTAAACCTTTTATTTTGATAACTTAGTCCTGCCAGGGGGCTGGCCAGAGGAGTAAAAAGGCTAAAGACTCAGCCAGGAAACCAGTCTTCTGGTTTCAGCTATGCCATTTTCTGGCTATGTGGTCTTGAGAAAATTTCTTAAGTCCTTCCTCCCTCCCTTCCTTCCTTCCTTCCTTCCTTCCTTCCTTCCTTCTCTCCCTCCCTCCTTCTTTCCTTCCTTCTTTCAGATTTTATTTATTTATTTGTCAGAGAAAAAGAGAGAGAGAACAAGCAATGGGGAGGGACTGAGGCAAAGGGAGAAGCAGGCTCCCTGCTGAGCAAGGAGCCTGATGCAGGACTTGGTCCCAGGACCCTGGGATCATGACCTGAGCTGAAGGCAGCCACGTAACTGACTGAGCCATCCTGGTGTCCCCCCAAAATTACTTTCTCTGTGTTGTGCATTATGATAGATTTCATATATACTTTGCAATTAAAAAATAATTCCCTTTTTCTGCATTGTGTGGATTACTATGTTAAGCTTTTTAAAAGCCATAAAATCCAAAAATGATCTTCAGACAAATGTGTTTAGACAAGATAGTGCTTAGATGAGTTCATATAAAAATAGAGATTTACAAATTATCTTAAAAGTAGGAAGATATGGTAGTACGAGGCCTACATTCCCATGTGGAAACAGTAGGAACCCACTGAGAGGTCCCCACCATTATAGTCTGAGGATGGGTTTGCTCCACTTAGTGCTATTATTACCTAGTTTCTCTAGGTATTTAAGCTTATGATCCCTGTTATGAATTCTTGCTTGCTTTCTCATTCTCTCTCTTGTTCTCTTTCTTACACACACACACACACACAAACACACACATACATATTCTGGCTATAGGTCTGAAGTCTTTGTTTAGCTTTGTTTAGCAATGGAACCAGCCCAGAGACCTGAATTTTGCAATGCTTTTCCTGGTTTTCAGTTTCCACCAACTGCCCTGTATCACTGTTACATTTTGTTTGTCATTGTAAACATTCCTGCTAATACATTCCTCTATTCCCCTGTATAAACACTTTTCCTCAAACCTGTCAGATGATTTGCAGAAAGAACAGTGTCCCCTGACTGGCCAAGAGTGGTACTACCAACTACTGGACACTTGAAGACTGACACGATTAAGTGGTTGTGTCCCTGAACAGGAGACAGCATGAAAAAGAAAAGTTCTATGTTGTCCTGCACTAGTAAACAGATGGAGGGCAGGTTTAGTTTGTCTCCTGCTGACTTACCAAGGTCCAAGCAAAAATGCTTTCAACTGATCCCAAGTTGCAGTTTTCCTTCAATAAAATGAGGTGGTATGAGCTGAAAGAATCTTCTAGCTGTAAAGTTCTTTTTTCACACTGAGTATGCATAGAAGGTTTAAATATGGTTATTTTTAATTTCATCCAGTCCAAACAACTACCACTTATTGAATATCTCTTATGTTCAGACACCTTGATAAAGTGACTTGACTTTGGGGCACCTGAGGGGCTCAGTCAGTTAAACATCTGCCTCTGGCTCAGGTCATGGTCCAGGTCCTGGGATAGAGCTCCCAGTCAGGTTCCCTGCTCAGTGGGGAGCCTGCTTCTCCCTCTCCTTCTGCCCCTCCCCCTGCTTGTGCTCACACTCTCTCTGTTAAATAAATTAATAATAAAATCTTTTTTTTTTTAAAGGGACATGATTTCATGCAGTCCTTACTACACCTATTTTGTAAACATAAGAACAACTGCAGACAAAGTGCACAGGAAGTCATGAAGTGAGAATTCAAAACTAGGCCTGTGTGACTTCCAACCCTTTACATGACTGCACTCTCAGTAAATAAATGAGAAGCTGGAGGTGGGAAGAAAGCATAACTTTGGGAAAAGCAGGGTTTCTCAGAGACCACATTCCTGTTGGCTCAAGACCAGGCTGGCATAAGTTGTATGAATAGTAGGGAAATATTACCAATCACATATTTTTACTTATATATGCTACATACAAATACAATCCAAAAATAAAACCTATAATTCATATGCTAATTTGGTAAAGTAGACATTAAAGCAAGATAAAAATGTTATTTCTCAATCTAACATTATGTGTGTGGAAATAGAAATAGTGAAATATTTTCTTTATAAGAGCAACAAAATACATTTTAAAACTATAGAAATAAATTTAACATAAATAATTTTATTGAAAAATTTTAAAAAGTTAAGAAGTGAAACATCTATCATATATTCTTAGATGTGAATGTTTATTATCATAAATGTTGATTCTCTTACATTTAATCTATAAAAATAATGTAATTCTTGTTAGGATTCCAAAACTCTTGTTGTTTTATGAGAGGGAGATCACTTTATACCCTATTAATTAAGTCAGACTAAGAGGCTACACTAATATATCAATGATATGTGATTATATACATGACACATGTATATCAAAATCCATGATAAGGTCTGTAAAATAATGTATATACGCATGAAGAGGACCATCGAATATTTCTGTCTTCTGGTTTCTCTGCTGTGTAACTGTTTAACTCCTCCAGTTTCCTCAGCTGTTGGGATACAGATGTGGTGGGGAAAATTAACAAAAACAAAACAACAACAGACACACACTTGAGTGGCTATGACAAGACCTAGATCCTGGCCTCTTTATGCCATGGGTCTGTAGTGTAACAGTGGGTAGACCACTGCCATTCTCTGGAGCTTATAAGCTGTCCTTAATATACACATGTACACTTGCAAGGACAGGGAGGGCATCCATGTACATGAGCTTATGTGTGCCTGAGTGACCATTTCAGGCACAGTGAGCTGAGTTCTTGTCATGGAAACCTTTGTACTAGGTAGTCTTGAGCCACCAAATGTGGAGGGGCACCTCCTCATTGACCACAAGCCACCTTCTTGGGCTGTAACCTCTTGAGTATTCTCTCTCTAATCTCCTTCATCTTGACACTGTAGAGAATAGGGTTTATCAGTGGAGGAAGCAGGAAGTGGACATAGGAGAGTAGAGTATGGGCAGGCTGAGGTACTGGCACCCTGAGACGGTCAATGAGGGCCAGGAGGATCATGGGCACGTAGAAGAGGAGCACAGCAGAGAGGTGGGCTGCACAGGTTTGCCCAGCCTTCCAGCGATCCTCGCTGGATCCCAAACCTTGCAACACCCTGCCAATTAGGCCATAGGAGAAGAAAATAAGCAATGGATCTAATCCCATGGCTGACAGAACCACAAATAGGCTGTAGACTGTACTCCAAGCTCCTGGGCAGGCCAAATGGACTATATCTGGGTGCAAGCAGTAAGAATGGGTCAGAACCTGTGGGTGGCAGTAGGGCATGTGGGCCAGGAGGAATGGCAGGGGCAGGTGGAGACCCAGGCATCGGAAAGTGATAGCCAGGCCAATCTTGCTAACAACATCGCTGGTGAGGAGCGTTGGATAGTGGAGAGGACGGCAGATGGCTAGTGCTCGATCTAAGGCCATGGCGAGCAAAACAGAGGACTCCATGACAGAAAAGACATGGACAAAGAACATCTGTAGGAGGCAAGCTGATGCAGGGACAGCATGGACACCAGCAAAGGAAAGACCCAGCAGGGTGGGCATCAGGGCTGTGGCCAAGCCAACGTCAGACACACTCAGCAGGAAGAGGAAGAAGTACATTGGGCGGTGCAAGGTGGGATCCAGGGCAATGACCCAGAGGATAGTACCGTTGCCCAAGGCAGAGAGAAGGTAGATGGTGATGAGTGGTATCGTCCACCAGGAGGGTACAGCTGACAGACCTGGCATGCCCCCCAACAAGAAGGTGGGGGCCATTGAAGTGTTATTAGGGGCTGCCTGGTTGGGGAATGTTGACATAGTTCTGGATCCACTTTGAACTCTGGAACCTGGAAAGTGATTGGAAAGATTTAATTAATATTTTGACACATTTGCATGATACTATCTAAAACAGTCTGCCTCCTCCTTCCCCAGGCCCCAGCACACACATGCTTTCATGTTCCCTCCCTTCCCTGCATACACATACATTCTAATATCTATACCATACTCATCTCTTACCTTGGCAGTTTTTCTAAAGCTGTCCTTAAATCTGTTTCTCTCAGTAGGCTGTTTCCCAACTTTCCTTTAACCCTGCCTTTTCTTGTAGCTTTTCCCTAACTCAGGTTCTGTCATCAATGGCAAACACCTGCAAGGGGGTCTGTACTCCTATAAATACCTTTTTGGCTCCCCTCAACTCTAAACATTCTGACTTCTGTGCTGCCTTAACACACTCACATTTCAGTGGACTTTTGTGCTCTCATTAAAGCATTCTTTAATGTTGGGAACCATGAGGCCTGGTCGAGGGCCCCACAAAGTTAAGTTTTAAACTGTTGAAGGCCTAATCCTGCTGAGGGCCAGATAGCCCCACAGATAAGCATGGTCTGATAGTCTCTTGCCTTTTTCTCTGATCCCCATATCTCTCTCAAAATAAGAGCCCCTTGCTCATCTACAAACATCTCTCAGTCTTGTGGGTCAGAGCAACTTCAAGGAGGTAAATTATTCTGTACCTAAGACAACGGAAAACTTTAGATGTGTACCGCAGTAGACGGTTTCCTCCCTAGGTTGTTGTTTGTCCAAGGCTTTCACAGCTGAGCCATTGATATACAACCTGCCTCCTGCAAAGGTAATTCCTTCTCGTTGCTACTTCTCTTCTATATACTTAGTTTCTCCAGATAGCTTCTCCTTTTCTATTAACCTATATCTCGTTTTCCTGCAGACCCCAGAATAAATTACCAAAAAGCACATATCTGTGCTACCTCCCATGGCTTTCGAGAAGCAAGACCCTGTCCCCCATCCCTGGCTCCAGTCTATACCATCATAGCTTAACTAGAATAACATGTGCTGAACAAAGAGAAATTGTCTGATGAGTGCTTGAGTCCTTTGATGTCCTTTGCACAAATGTAACCCCCTACCCCAAGTAAACTGCCTATATAAGAAGCTCTAAAATCAGAATAAAATGGAGATGCCTGACTACTGACCAGAACTCACAGTGTGGTTCTCTCATTCCTCTCGCCGACACTGCCCTTCCTTCAGGGACACCTGGACCTGCCGAGGCTGGACCCTGGCACTTTAATTACTCCTTTAGTACTAAATCAAGGGGCACTCATAGTTTCTAAACTAATGTATTTCTCAATGAGCTTTGGCTGTTATAAATCCAGTTTCTCCTTTTTTTTTTTTTTTTTAATTCTACCTCTCAGAAGTTAACTGCTCAGTTCACCTTGCTGTGTCCTATCCAAGGTATATCTTGGCATTTTTGAGGGATCTTTATTTGGGTCTCTTCTTTTTCTTCAGTGGTCTTATCTACACTCATCACTTTATCTGAACTCTGTAGGCTGATGAATCACAAATATATCCCCTTAAATCATTCTATATTCTCCTTACCCTGGAAATCTCTACCCTTACATCCCATTTATTTTTATTTTATTTTATTTTATTTTAGAGAAAGAGCAGATCTGGGGAGGGAGAGAGGAAGAGGGATGGACAGAGGGAGAGGGAGAAGCAGAAGCCCTGCTGAGCAGGGAGCCCTAAGTGGGGCTCTATCCCAGGACCCTGGGATCATGATCTGAGCCAAAGGAAGATGCTTAACCAACTTAACCACTTAGGTGCCCCTGTCCCATTTATTTTAAACTCAAATAACCCAAAACAGATCTTCACAAATGAATCTTAAAACCTCTTCCAGTTTCCTCAGGAGACAGTGGTAAGGAAATTGCAACAATGACAAAAGAAAAAAATAAAAAGGGAACATATCTTGATTTTCTAAGTCAGTTGGTGATACTGCCACTCCCCAATTTCCCAAAATAAAAGCCCCACAATTAACCTCACTTCACATACAATGTTCAAATATTTTTTCTAATTTCAGCAAGAAGGACTGAGCACACAGTCTTATCTCCTTCCTTCAGTCAAATGCCCCCAAAACTTAGAACTGAAATTCCAGAAAAAGGACCATGAAATTGTGATGTGGGAAAAAGAAAAACAAAAGCATGCTAAGTTATGTTCCTGGGGAATAATATGAATTAAATTAATATAATGTATAATTATAATTATTATAATACATAAATATAATACATAACACATAAATATAATTATATTTATGCATTATAATCATAATTAGAATTAATTAAATTAATAATTAAATAAATTTTATAAATAAATTAATTTCAATAATCTTAACATTTTAATATTAATTTAACATTTAACTTAATTAATTAATATTAATAGTGATTCAATTGATATCAGTTTGATTAATATTAATTTAATCCAATGATTTAACATTTAATAATTTAATATTAATAATAATTCAATCTAAATAATTTTAATAATTTTAATAAATTGATTAAAATTAACAAATTAATCATATATAAATTGTATTATATAAATTATATGAATTATGTGAATTATATATTTTATGTATTTTATATATTTATATAAATATACATAATTATATGGACATAAATGATTTATAATAATATATATATTAAACATATATTATATATATAATATAAATACCAGTGAACAATCTGAAAATAAATTAAGAAAATTTTATTCACAATAACATCAAAAATTTTAAAATAGGAATAAATTTAACAAATAATATACTGTTGTACACTGAAAACTATGAAACAATGCTGAGAGAAATTAAAGAACTTCCATAATGGAAAGACATTCTGTATTTATGGATTGGAAGACTCGATATAGTCAATATAGTTAAAATATTTATAAATATGGAATATTTAGGTATTTCTCAATTATCTCCCAAATTACCTATAGTTTCAACAATATCCTTAACAAAGGGCCAGAGGTTTTTTTGTAAAAACTGCTAAGTTTATCTTAAAATTTATATGGAAATGGTATGGAATTAGAGGAGCCAAAATTATTTGGGAAGAGAAAAAACAAAGTTGGGAAAGTTACATTACCTAACTTCAAAATTTATACTCAAGTCAGGACATAAAGACAAACATACAGACCTATGGAATAGAACAGAGAGCCTGGAAGTGAGCTCATGTATATATGTCTACTGATCTTCATTGAAGATGTCAAGAATATGCAATGGAGAGGAAGATCTCCTTAAAAATTGGTGTTGGCAGAACTGATATCCATATGCAAAATAATTAAATTGTGCTTGTATCTCATACCATACATAAAAATCAATTAAAAATGGCTTAAAGATTTAAACATAAATCCTGAAACTGTGGAAGAAAACATAAGGGAAAAGCTTTATGACATTGGAATTGGCAGGAATTTCTTTTTATTTTTTAAGATTTGTTTGCTTATTTTAGCGAGTGAGTGCATGAGCAGAGGGAGAGGCAGAGCGAGAAGAAGTGGGAGAGAGAGAAGGGTAGCAGACTCCCTGCTGAGTGGGAAGCCCACTGTGGGACTATGTCTCAGGACCCTAAGATCATAACCTGAGCAGAAACCAAGAGTCTTACTTAACAACTGAGCCACCCAGGCACCCCTTGCAGTAATTTCTTCTATATGACACCAAAAGCACAAATAACAAAAGCAAAATTAGACAAATGAAACTACATCAAACTTAAAACTTCTGCATAGCAAAAGAAACAGTCAACAGAGTGAGAAGTCAGCCTAAATAATAGGAGAAAATGTTTGCAGACTGTATCTGATAAGGGTTTAATATCTAAAATACATAAGAAATTCCTACAACTTAATTACCAAAAACAAATCAATTTTTAAAAGACAAAAGAACTGAACAGACATTTTTCTAAAGAATACATGGAAATGGCAAACAGGTATATAGAAAGATGCTCAACATCACTAATCATCAGGGAAATGCAAATTAAAACCATAATTAGAGATCACTTCACACCTGTTAGGATGGCTGTTAGAAAAAAAAAATAATGATGAGTTGGTCACAATAGAGTAATTGGAACCCTTATAACTTCGTATGCCTAGTTATGTAAAACGGTGCAGCCAGTATAGAAAACGGTATGGTCCTTCCTCAAAAAAATTAAAAACAGGATTATCATATGATCCAACCGTCCTGCTTTTGGTTGTATATTCAAAAGAATTGAAATCAGAATCTTAAAGAATATCTGCTCTCCCGTCTGCACTGCAGCATTCTTCACAATAGCTAATCTATGGAAATGACCTAAATGTCCATCAGTGGATGGATGAATGAAGAAAAAGTGGTGTATACATACAACAGAATATTATTCTGCCTTAAAAACGCAGGAAATCCTGCCATATGCTGCAATGGGGATGGATCTGGAGGACTTTATGCTGAGTGAAATAAGCCTTGTTGTTACAGAAGGACCAATCCTGCATGATTCACTTGTAGGAAGTATAGTCAAACTTACATAAAGAGAGAAGAAAATGGTGGCTTCCAGAATCTGAGGTGGAGGGAGACCAGGAATGAATGTTCAATGAGTATAAAGTTTCAGTTATGTAAGATGAATAAATTCTAGAGATCTTCTGTACAACATTGTGTCTATAGTTAACCACTTAAAATTTTGTCAAGAGGTTAGATCTCATGTTAAGTGTTCTAACAATAACAACAAAAAGAATCAGAACAACAACAAAATCTCATAACAATGGTACCATATAGGGTTGAATAATAAGGGAAAGAATGGGACAGAGTGTCCCAGATGTTGTCTAGGAGACAACATTTGTCTGCGGATGTTGTCCCAGGGACAACATTTGCCACTTATATTACTGAAAAGTTTAAATTTGGAATATTTAAGGAACTACAAATAAGACAGAGATGGGCAATCTGATGTAAAAATCTAGCAAAATATGAGATGTTATTTTATATAGGAATATATATTGGGGGCGCTTGGGTGGCTCAGTTGGTTGAGTCTGCCTTCAGC